CCTTCGTACCACCAGCACCATTCCCTGTATCACTATTTGCCGACGGCTTTCCGTTTAATATGAGGTCACTTTTATTCTTCCCTCCTGCCTTTCTAATGCTGGTTTGTGGTGTGGCGTAGCTCGCATGACTTCTCATCGACGCATTTCCTTGCAGCCTGGCTTCAGTGCTCGACGAATGCCGAGGTGCCGTCAATTCCCTGTGGCTTTTCGCGTCATTCCTGACTTCATTCTCTTCAGTTGGCTGCGTAGCCACCGGAGATTCCTGGTCTATTGCCTGGCGTGTATTTGGGGGGGCGGAAAGTTCCAGTGAGCGTGTAGTAACCTCGACAAGTGTTTCCTCGGAATTATCCCAATTCTTGAGTAAGCGGTCATTCTCTTGTCCATCTATCATGCGTTCAAGCTCCTTCGTTGAGTTCCGGGGCTGTGGTAACTGGCGCAAGGTGGAGTCGGGGTCAGATTGAGCCAGAGTGACGCGCGTGGTTCGCTCAAGCTCGGGTCGTTCGGCGGCTATTGCTTGTGAGTTGTGATTCATTTCTTCTGTCTTTTGCTGATCTGTCTCAAAGACAGTTGGGTAGCAAGGATTCTCGTTGGACAGTTTATCCCTGTCTACCGCGTTCGTTCCGAGTGCGTCACAATTTTCTTTCGGCCTCGTGACTGCCAGCAAATAATGATTTGGCTTTGGACAGGTCGGCGCAGTGGAGACGTAGCTATCTGAGAAGAGTACGGGGTTCTCGTGTGGCGCCGGGGGTCGGAGCTCCAATCGTCCTTCCATTACTTGTCCTGTCTTTTCAATGACATGGTTCTGATTGTTTGTATACTCAGCTGCTTCAAACGCAGAGTTCCCCGATGGCGACCGGAATAGGTTATTGAGGAACGGCCGGTGTACTTCTGTAGTAACATTGTCAAAAATGCTCGTGTAGTTCTGAGTGCTCTGGAACTCTACTTCTGCGTCTGAAATAAATGCAAGTGCTTGGCGTATGTTTTCATAAGACATAACTTCAGCGGTAGCCTCATGTGGCACAGCCATTAGCTCGTATCTTGGAAGTCGGGTTCCACGGTCTTTAAACACCAAATATGTCCCTTCTTCACGCTCATCAATGGTAACTAGGTTGTTTCGCTGCCATGGACGTCCAAGCAATAATTCAAAGGGAGCTTGTTGCGAAACCCAGAGTCCGGTTTTCGTAGGCACCCCTCCACAGCTGAGTTCTACATCATGAATGAATCCTCGCAACTCACCTCTTCCCCCATTAGCATCATTCATAGCCGTAGTGCGTGTCATGTCTACTGGACGATGCAACACCAGAGCGGCAATATCTGCTCGGACTACATTTAATTGCGAGCCAGTGTCCACAATTGCAACTACACGTCTTCCGCAGATTTCCATTTCAATGCGAATTAGGACTCCATCTGTTCGTGGCCATGTCCACTGTGCTACCAGTGGAAAGCCCGACCCCATCAGAACGGCTTTAACACTTTTTAACCGCACAGTGTCTTGTAATCCATTGCGTATTTCTTTGGAGGCGGCAAGCACTTCCCGTACAGTGATAGGTAGTTCCAGGTCTAAGATGCGATCTACGATTTTTGGTAACTGAACCGTAGATTGAATGTCTGACTGTCGCCCTGTTGTCTTAATTTCGCTTTTTGAAGGTTCCGTAGTGCTGGCATCAGCAGACTTTTCTGTTGCAGTTCGACGAGCAGGGAGTTTCTCGGACCCTTCGTTTTCTTTCCGGGAGGGATCGTGACGTGCTCTCTTTTCAACTGGTATCTCCTTCATTTCTATGTCCTGTTCCTCACTAATCCTTGGGCGCCGCGCATCATAGGGTTGAACATCGGATAAAATGTCTCGAATTTTTCCAACTACAGGCTTCTCAGGGGTTGGTGACTTCTTCGGGCTAGAGGCTTTAGGGGCCTCAGTATCAACTTCCTTTGGCTTTTCCCTGCGTGGAACATGCACTCCATCAAAGGCCAGTCGCCGAGCTGCTCGTGTACTAGGTACAGTGCGGTCTGCTCCGTTTACTTGCTTCTCGCTTTTAGGCCATCTATTTTTAGGTATGGTCAAGTAAACATCTCCAGGTGCCCAGTCACTCTCGTCTTCAGTTCCTTCTGCATCCTGACCATTAATCCATTCCATATATTCCCCGGAGTCTGACTGCGAGCTTTCTTCATTGGTAACTTCTACAAATCTTGTTTGCATGGCCTCTGGGGTTTCTTCGTAGGATTTACTGACTCCATAATAGGCAGTGGAAAATGCTGCGTCTGCAAGTCCCAGCATTACCCGGGGAGCTGCCTGCCGCTTTGCTGCCTGAGCGATATTCTCTCCAACCAGTCACTTTATATAGGATCCATTACTCATCTTGATTCTCCGATTTTCTTCGTCTATTTTTACAATTCCAGCTTGCTCCAGTTCTCGTATATCTGGGCAGTTGATGGCTAAGTGTCCCTCTTTTCCGCATCCGAAGCACCCACTAGAGTTTTCAGCAGGTGCTGGTGTCTCAGACCGTTCTCCTAGTGGGATATTGTTTGGGTAAGTTGCTGGCGTGGTAGTCAAGTTTGCCTTGAAGGCTTCCCTTGGACTCGGAGTAGGTGGGCGAGGTCGTCCATTGGGCCTCCATCCTCCTTGAAGCTTCGGTGGGCTGATACAGTTAATGGCATGTCCTGTCTGATCCAAGGCCATGATGGAGTAGTATGTAGGTGCGTATTCAACATCGTCAATAGTCATCTTGTTCAGGCGTCGGATCAAATCTGCCACTTCTAAAGCGGTTCCGCTAGGCTTCACTGTTCGCTCAGAAGAGTCCACACTGTTAGGGTTTCGTACAGCCTTCTCCTTCTCCTTCTCTCTGCGAGATCGACGCTTCTCCTTCTTCTCTCGTCTTTTCCTTCGATATGACTCATAGTCAGAGTCCCCTGATTCATCATCTGAGTCTTCTTCCTCTGAGGATATCTCGTAATATCCTCCATCATCATCTATATCGTAATCGGCAGCATTAACTACCATTGTCTCAGCACGATTCCTTCGGAAATACCATTCTGCTGCTTCGTTAATTTCGCGCATAGAGTATGGGTTTCGGCTATTCCGCTTTGGGGCACTTTGAAGAATGCGATTTTCCAAGGTTCTGCGTAGATCCTTATGTAACCCGAGCCAAAAGTACACATCCACATTTACCTTGGTGACGTGTCCTTGCCGGTACAAGGTTCCTGCCATGGTTTTATATCGAATGTAGTACTTTTTCCATTGCGATAAATTGTGGATTGGCTTGTTCTTGGTTTTGAGAGTGTAGGCAGTGATGTCGCCAGGCCTATACCGAGTGAGAGCTCGGTCTGCGTCGTAACATTTGAGTATTTCTCGTCGAAGTTTTGGCCAGTCTCGGTCTTGATAGTGCTCAGAGGCGCGGATGAATGCTTGTACATCTGAGGAACAATAATCTAGAATGCATTCGCATTGATCGTAAGCGTTATTAACTCGGTACTTTATAAGTAGTCTGTCATAGTGCTGAACAAAATATTCTACTTCTGCGTGCTTACCTTTAAAGGTCTTCGGAGCTTCCCGACTGTTTCGTAATGGCATATCAAGGACTGTTCGGACCGGAGCACTAAAGGTTAGTGGAACAGATCCTGTCATTCGTTTAGATGGCTCCGGTGATGGTGAGGGGGATGCCATAAGGGGCTCCGGAAGATCGCTGTCCGTGTCTCCTTCCATTTCAGTCAGAAGTGATGATCTTACAGAATCCTGTGATTCTTCATAAACTGTAGAAACGGGTGGGTCCTGAGGGAACACAAAATGCGTATGATTTGCTGGGGCTTTTCCTTTGGCCGAAGTACTGGCTTCAGCTGCTTGTGGCCCTTGCTCTGCGGTGAACAAGGAAGGCATTGGTTGATTTCTATCGTAAGGCGGATTTATAAAACTCGTAGAGGCTGTGGGCTGAGGGGGAATGTGCATTCTGGGGCGTGCTTGATGATTCAAAAATAAGGGAGATTGTTGTTATTAGGGGAGTAACTTCACAGGATTTTCCCCTCGCGGTGGGCTCCAATGATGTCAGGTGTATAAATTGTTATACTCGAGGTGCTTCGGAATTGTCGTTATTCGGAAGTTTCTCGAAAGTTCGGAAAACTGTGTGAAGTGAGAAAGATTAGAAATTAGTAAAAAAAGAAGGGCCCGAAAGAGGGTGTTGGTAGGCTAAAATTTGTAAGGCGTTTGTAGGTGTTTGTTCGTAGCGTGTTCGCTCGTAAGGCGTTCGTAGGCGTTCGTTCGTAGGGCGTTCGTTCGTAGGGCGTTCGTTCGTAGGGCGTTCGTAGGCGTTCGTTCGTAGGGCGTTCGTAGGCGTTCGTTCGTAGGGCGTTCGTTCGTAGGGCGTTCGTAGGCGTTCGTTCGTAGGGCGTTCGTTCGTAGGGCGTTCGTAGGGCGTTCGTTGACTTAGGATTACTTAGAAGTGGTTCACACTTTTAGATGCTTAGAGGGCAAGGATTTCTATTGTCCTTTGCTGGCTACTACAAGGGGTTTATATACTATAGTACTAAAAATAGATGAGTCCTTTGCACTGGTTTGCACAGTCAGTGACATCATTTCCTGAGTCATCAGCACTGGTTTGCACAGTCGATAAAGCCATTTTACGCTGGTTTACACAGTCTGCTCCACAATGCACAGTCACTTGCGCTGGATTGCAGAGTTTACTCCGAATTGCACAGTCGTTTCGCACTGGTTTGCACAGTTTGCTCCAAGGTGCACAGTCAATGACCTCATTCGCACTGGTCGGCACAGTTAATGATGTCACTTGATGAGTCGTCAAAGGCTCCAGTTTGACTTACATTTTTCCGGCATTGCAGTCCCTATGGCCTGTTCATGCGGAGTCGTAACTTCTTCTGGACTTCTCATCATTCCTTAATCTTTCCAATTTCGGCTCCTATTCCATCCTGACTCCAAACACTTTTGGAGGATGACAGCGGATTTATTGGCTGCTGACTTTGTATGATGTATATGGTTACAGAGAGCTGTTTTGGGTATAGTGTCTTTGGTGTAGTGGTAACACATGTTCTGGAACTATATATAGTTCCACTCCTTAGTAAAATACTGGAACATGTCCAGGGTTCAAATCCCTGAAGGCACATAACTCGGAGCTAGACTTTTTGTAGCTTTGATTTTGATTTTTTGTTCTTTGTTTTTGTGAACAGTTGCATGATGCAGAAACAGCACATATTTCATTATTTATACCAAAGAACAAGCTGTTTGCTTTTTCTGCTATACGAGGAAGGAAAAACATGTAATAGTGCTAGCTTGGATAGCATAACTCTAAAATGTTCTATATAGTGCCTGTGGTGTAGTGGTAACACATGTTCTCCAGTTGTCTTGTAAATACACATATATCAACAGGTCCAGGGTTCAAATCCCTGAAGTCACATGAAATCTAAGACTGCTACATTTTTCTTATTATGCTTTTTGTGCATACAGCTCCATGACGTAGTTCCACTGATTTGGCACAAGTCATCCATCTAGGTGCTCAGCTGTACTCTAGGCAATGCTTGTATTGTAGTTGCTCGTGCAGTGATGCATCACTGCGTTGACGGGCCGGCTAAACTCCGGGGGTTGTGGAGGTAAGGTAGAAAGGGCGAGTGGAGGTCTGCCTATCCGTGTAGACTCCCCAAGTGTAGGCAGCCGTCGTGGGCATTGACGGGCCTCGGCTGTGCGGTGTCTAGGTAACAAGATTGGCGTCGGCTAGCTATGTTTAGACTCTCGGCCGATATAGCCGTGTCTAGCTTGCGCATCAGCGGGCCTCGATTTTGCCCATTCTAGGGGCCGTGTCAACACAGTGAATGTAGTGCTTTTGGTCTAGAGGTAACACATTCTCATCTTTTAGTCCCATGCAACCTGAGCGTAGGGAAGGTCCTGGGTTCAACTCCCAGAGAGCACGTGCCCAATGAATCTGCCTTTTTCTTGGGTTGTGTTTTTGTCTTTGCTATGATATGAGCTGGATTTAGGTTTTATATGAGCTGTGCTTCAAAGTATTACACAACCGAATTTGTTGGCGCAAATGGGTGGGGCGGCGAATGTAGCATCGAAGGGGGGAATAGGAGCATCGAAGGGGGAATAGGAGTGAAGAAAATGAAAAAGAAGTGATGGGAAAACAGAAGACCCTCGCCGGGATTTGAACCCGGGACCCCGCGCATGCGTTCACTTGGAGGGAAAGTGCACCCAAAGCGCGTATCATTCTACTAGACCACGAGAGCGATGCTTTGTCTGCGCATCGAGGTATGGGAAGGGGGGGAGGGGGATCGGGGCGGAACGCGGGGATTCAGGAACGTTGGATGGGAAACTGGGAAGGGTGCCGTAATGGGGATGGGGATGTGAAAAGGAATAATTCTGGCTGTCAACGAGATTCCACACGAGTGAGAAAACTCAGACGATTCATTTCAGTGGGAAGTTCATTCGATGGGATGTTATCCGATGCTGATATGTCCGTAGAGTGATAAAGATCTTTCCCAAATTTTTCGTTGAGAAAACCCAAAATTTCCGACGAGTGGAACGGATTCAACTGGAATGCAGAATCGCTGGCTGGCGATATAATTTTGGTTGCAAGGCACGGTTGAACCTGGATATCACGGGAATGTGGCGCCGACGCGACGTCGCGGAGATCACCGTGTGACTGACGTGCGCGCCTAGGCTAGTCATTCTCGTCCTCCTCCCCGCCCTCCTCGTCCTCGCCCTCTGCCTGGGATGGGCCAGCCCGTGTCGAAAGAATCGCGGGGCGACAAAGCGCGCTCCGACGCCATCGACCGGCAAATCAGCGAAGACTCGAAGCGGTACAAGAAGGAATGCAAGATCCTCCTCCTGGGCTCCGGCGAGTCGGGCAAGTCGACGATCGTGAAGCAGATGAAGATCATCCACCAGGAGGGGTTCGACGCGCGGGAGCGGCAGGAGTACCGCACGACGATATACAAGAACGTGCTCGACTCGGCGGGGACGCTCGCGCGGGTCGTGCGCGGCGTGGGGCTCGCGGCGTTCGGGGACGAGGAGAGGGAGTATGCGGTTGCGGTGCTGCGGGCGTTCCCGCCGGTCCCGGGGGCGGTGGTGGTGGCGGAGTTCGACACGGACAGCGGGCACGGGAGCGTGGAGGACTACAGCGAGATTGAGGTCGGCGTGGACCCCGTGCCGTTTACACGGGTCGAGGAGCGCGCGGCGTACCAGCCGAGCGGGTACAGCCGCGGCATCCAGACGGGGCGGGTCAGCACCCGCCCGGGGACGGCGGAGACGCCCACGCAGGTCGTCGATGTCCTCGCCCAGACGCATGCGGTGCTCACACCAGCGCTGGCGGATGCGATATGGCACGTCGCCCGCGCACCCGCCGTTGAACGTCTCGTCGACGAGCACCCCGCAGAGTTCTATCTAATGGACAGCGCGGCGTAGTCAGTCTTTCCATTTCTACTTGGTGCTACTCTGACTGTTCCGCAGCTTCTTCTCCTCGATCCACCGCATCGCCGCCCCCACATACGTCCCCTCCGAGGAAGACGTCCTCCGCGCCCGCGCACGCAGCACAGCCATCATCGAGACGCGGTTCTGGATGGGCGACTTGATGTGCGTTTCGCCTTCGTTTAATTTTGCCATCCACTGACGCCCGCCTCCCCAGGATCCACATGTTCGACGTCGGCGGCCAGCGCTCAGAGCGCAAAAAGTGGATCCACTGTTTCGAGAGGTGCGTTGTTGTCCTCGTTCTCGTTCTCGTCCTCCCCATTCGCCGTTATTCGTTCTCTTTCCGTCTGCGTGCGTGGGTGCGCGCCAATACTTGCCCTCGTGGAAGCCGCCGCAGCGTTTCCCAGCTCTTTATACACGGGAACCCTTTTGCCAGGCTCTTTTATACGCGGGAACGTTCTGGACGTCTGAGCGCAAGAACTGGGAGTTCTCCGTCGCGAGCCGCGTGGTCCTGTGTCTGTTCTGTTCTTTTTTTGTTTGGTCTTCGAACTTTTTGCGGCGAGCCTATTTTGGCGCCGCTGGAGGAGCGCGCGTACACGTAGCGCTGGGTGTGTACACCAAAGCTGCGTTGCGTGTACCTCTCCGTCCGAGCTTCTTGTGATTGCTCGAATAGCTGGCCGCAGCTCCATTGCGTCGTGTCCTTTCGTTTCCCATCTTGTCATACGGTTGTGGAAGGACTCGACGCCGCTTCCTCGCCGACGGATCGGCCCCCTCGTCTAGGTGTCGTCGTCCTGTTCCTCGTGCCCTTCACTGCGATCGCGCCTCGTTCTACTCTCCCCTTCTTTTCCCTACTCTTCCTTTCATGAATACTAACCCCCCTCTTTTGTTGGCAACAGCGTCACATCCATCATATTCTGCACCGCGCTGAGCGAGTACGACCAGGTGTTGGAGGAGGAACGGAGGGTTGTGAGTGTCTTTCCTTTCGTTTTTTTTGGTTTTTTCTGTTTTTGGGAGGAGGAGGAGTTTTTTTGGGGGGTGGTTTGGACGGGGCCGGGGGTGGGGGCGTGTGCCGTTTTGGAGGTCCGGTCCTTGGGGGATGGACGTGGACGTTTGCAGTGGGGATGGGGTGGTGACGCCGCACCCGCACCTACCCTCGCGTCGTCTAGCTGAGTTCGTCGTGCGGGAGTGCGGGCGGGTGCGTGCGGCGTATCGTAGCGCGACCCGACGGCGAGCCTGCACCCACCGTCTAGCTCGACTCGTGGTGCAGCAGTGGGGCGGTGGGGCGTTTCCAGAAAGCGGGTCTGTGGTGCATTGTAGCGCGACCCGACGCCCAGCCCACGCCTGCGCTTGGTCTGGCTCGTCTGGCTCGGCTCGTCGTGCGTCGTCTAGCCCGTCGCGCGTCGTCTGCTTGACTCGTCGCGCGGCAGTGGGGGCCTTTTCGGAAGCCGGTGGATACGGCGCACTCGGGAGGGCTAGTGCCCACCCGCACCCGCGCCCACCCACGCGTCGTCTGGCTCGTCGCGCGGCAGTGGGGACGCTTCCGGATGATGTGCGCGGCGACAGAGTACGAACGGTGTTCGGTCTTCGGCGGGGTCGTCTTTCGGACGAGGCGGTGTGGGTGCGGTCGTTTTCGAATGGCCGTGCTTGGATGGTCGTAATCGTGCTCAGCCGCCGCAGGCGGGACGTTCCTGCGCTTCGGGGTGTCGTCGTAGCACTGTGGACTGCGGATGAGATGTCCGGGCGCGAGTAGCGTGCGAGGGTGCGAAGTGTGAATTGACGCGCGCCTCGTACTCGTCTCCTAGCGAGGGAAGAGTACGATGTGATGCGCCTCAGTCATCCTCACCCTCCTCATCCCCTCTTCCTTCTCCCTCTTGTCCTCCCCCCCTTGTCCTCTCCTCTCCCCCTCCCCCCCCTCCCCTCACCCTCCTCTTCCCACCCAACTCACTCACTTCGTCCACAGAACCGCATGCGCGAATCGCTCTACCTCTTCGAGTCCGTGATCAACTCGCGCTGGTTCCTCCGCACGAGCGTGATCCTGTTCCTGAACAAGATCGATGTGTTTAAGCGGAAGCTGCCGAAGGTGGGTGTTTTGTTTTGAGTTTTCGGTTTTTGGGGGAGCGGTTTTTTCTGAATTGAGGCTGGGTATTGAGGGAAGGGGAGGAGAGGGAGGAGGCGATAGCGCGTTGCTCGTCTACGGTGCGCGATGTGGCAACGCGCGGGGTCGTACGTCCGCGCTCCCGCCCTGGATCCACCCCCACGCGACGAGGGTCTTCAGCGGGCCGCGCCTGCGGGAGGGACGTTGGGGTTTGGGGTTTTGGTATCTTGACGGCGGGGCGGGGCGGGCGCGTTGTTGGCTCTTTATGCGGGAGGGGGCCTGGGCTACGCTACGTACGCTGCAGAGCGGCCCCTCCTCTCCCTTTGCCTGATCTTCACTGTTCCGCGGGGAGGTCGCCAAGGTCGCGAAGGGGCGCCGCCGCTGAGGGGGGGAGGAGAGGAGCCCCAGCCCCGAGACGAGACGGGCGGGTGGTGGTGCCCCGTCGGGAGCGTGTGTGAGACGATGGTCGTTGGTCGTCTACTCTATTCTACGGTGCCAGAGGAGGGCGGGCCCGGCGATGAAGAGATTTCCGGCGCCCGCGGGGTGGTACATCCCCAAGACGGCGTGCTCCGCTGGATCCATCCCCACGCGACAAGGTGGTGGAGAGGGTCTGCAGCGGGCGCCGGATGGGGCGGGTGTTTGGGGGCGTTGTTGTCTCTTTAGGCGGGAAGGAGGGCCTGGGCTACGCTACGGAGCGACCCCTCCTTGCTGCTCCGAGATGAGGTGGGCGCGGGGAGGGTGCGGGGGTCGCGACGGGGTGTCGGCGCTGAGAGGGTCGTCGTGACGCCCGCGTGTCGTCTTTTCGAGGTCGTACGCGGGGGGACACCTGGGGTCGCCGTTCGTTCTCCCCCCTTTCGCTCCCCTCTCCTCCCTGCCTCTCCTCCTCCCCTCCTCACACACCACCACCACCAGTCAACCAACTCACCCCCCTTCTCTACTCTCTCACAGATCCCCCTCGGCCGCTACTTCCCCGAATACACCGGCGGGAACGACCTCCAAAAGGCCGCGAAATACATCCTGTGGAAGTTCATGCAGGAGAACCGGGCGAAGCTGACGGTGTATCCGCAGTGAGTGTCTTTGCATTGTTGTTGGGTTCGTTGCGTTGCGTTGTTGTTTTCGTTGGGGGTGGTGGGGCGTGGCGCTGTTGGTTTCGTTGGGGGTGGGGGCTGGTGGTGGGTGGCGTGGGGGACGCGCGTGCGGCTTGGCGAGTCGTTGGTGTGGCGTGCCGTGCCGTGGCGGCTGTCGTTTGTCGACGCGCGGAGGCGTCGTGCGAGCCGCGCGTGGTGCGGTGGGCTGGATTTGTTTTGTGGCCAGGTTGTGCGTGTGGGTGGGCTGGCGGAAGCGCGGCGTGCGGCTCTTTGTCTGGTGGTGTGGACGGGGGCGCACGAGACGGCGCGTCGCGGGGTATCGGGTGCGCAGGGCGCGTTCCCGTGCAATATTGTCAATGCGGACGTTGTGGGTAGAAGGGTGGTGAGGTGAAGATGGCGGATGGGGCGGGAGAGGATGAGCGCGTCTCTGCGTGCTCGTTAGTTGTCTTGACACCCCATGTCTGCGCGTCGAGACTATGCTCCCGCTCCTGAGGGTGGGTGGGGCTAAGCGTGTTTGAGGGGACAGACGCTAGGTGTGGGCGACGCTCGCTCCTTGAACCTTCGAAGTCTCCGTTCCGCCAGCTGCGGATGGGGCTTTGGGGGGGTGTGTACGAGAGGGTTTTGACACACCATGGCA